GGGCATTCTGGTGGGGTCTCCTTTATAATGACAAGATGGCCATTTGGCCACAGCACAAAGCAGGGCTGAGGAAAACGGGGTATGGGCTAGGGCTGTTCTGGGCGGGGCTCCTAAACATGGGGCTCTGCCCCGGGCTCCGATGTTATTTACCATGTGAATCCGTGACTTAGTAATAAAGAGAGTGGGTGTTCATGGAGCACCTACTATGCCAGCAAATTTGCCTGGCACGTGATAAATATTATCTCTCATCCTCGTGATAAACTTGCAAGACAGGTGTTCTCATTTGACAGATATAAAAGTTGATGCACAGTGATGGTGAATGATGTGCCCAGAGTTACCCAGCCTGCCAGGGGTGGAGCGACGAATCCATCTCCAGGTGTGCTGAACTACAAGCTGGGTGATTTTCCGTTACTTGTACTTTTCTCACCATTTGATGTTTCGGTCTCTGTCCATCTTTCATGATAAAATTCACACCAATCTTCCTGTTTTATTCAGGCTAGGCTACCTGTTGTAACAAATAGTCCCAAACTCTCAGTGGCTCAACAAGATAAAAATCTTTACTGCTCAGGTCCAAGTCCACTGCAAGTCAGACAGGGGCCTCTCTCCACACAGCCAGTCAGGGACCGGGCATCTCCCATCCGATGGAGCTGCTGTCTTCAGAATGCGGCCTCGGAGGTCTCCACAGGTCAGTCAAGCGATGGAGGGTCACACCGAGAGATCTGTGTGCACCAGACCTGGACGCAGCCCACGCCACTTTCCATTTGTCTGAATGAGATCAGTTGGTCCCAATCGAACTTCAGGGGGGCTGGGACATGCGGTTTAGTCCTGTGCCCGCAAAGAAGAGAAAATGGGTACTGTGAGCACTGTCTCTCTGACCTCCCCCTCTCTCACACGACTGTACTGAGGATGAAATGAAACAAACTCTGTCAGGGTGCTTTACCCAGACGAGAGATTACGATGCCTTACAGCTGGAAGGAAGGGGCTGGGAGAGAGAGATCGCAGCTGGGGGTGTATGTTCAGGAGTCTTCTGAACTCATGTAAGTCTTTCACCCTCTGCCTCACATGTTTATTTCCAGCATTCATTCATTCATTCACTCGCTCATTCATTCATTCCCCAACAAATCGTTCGATGCCTTGAGTACTGTGCCACATGTTGGTGTATGTGATAGGTGTGATGTTTTAGCCTGAAGAAAATCCTCTTCTGGAGCTGGTGTTGGTGTTAGGAAGGATGAGTTGCCACCTGCTCCGAAGTGGAAGTGGTCTCATGTAATTGACCTGCCCCACGTGGCTGGCTGGGCTATATGATGAGGGTCGTTGCTTCAAGGATCGATCAGCATTGGTCTTTTTGCTGGCAGGTTGGACCATCAGCAATCACAGTCTGGGAAAAGGGAGCCCCTGTTTTTGGACTTTTGTGTAACCCACATCCTTGTCACTTTGACCCCTCTGTTTACAGACACACTGAGCAAATGCTGCGGTATTTGAGGAGAGAGGTTGGGTGACAGGCTGAGGATGGGCCATCCTGTCCAGCTGCTGGCGGACAGCCCCAGGTGGGTAGATGCTCTCGGGCACTAATATGAGACCCAATGATGCATCCACGGGCTTGGGGACCCATGTCCACAAGTCCCTCCACATGTCTCTTCCCCAGATTGCCTTGTCTCTGATCCCCCACTCTGTTCCTTCCAGGCCCTTGACAACTGGCCAAGCCACCCAAATACTGCAAAGAAGGCAGTGCGCAGGTCTGCCTCAGGTCTCCCCTCCCTCCACCTGAAGAGGAGGGCCAAGCGCCCTGGTTCCAGCTGGGTTCACTGGAAGACTCACCTTTTACTACCACATTGAAGGGCCTCTCTTGATTTGGGCAACAATGCCGCCGCCATCCTATTCTGTGAACCAAGCCTGAGTTCAGTGAGGCGGAGGGCGCCCCCGAGGAGGCTATGGTATGGATCAAGGGAGAGTCAGCAGTGCAACAGAAAGAAGCGAAGTGAGAGTCTGGGTAGCTCTTTTTATAATTTACTGGATCTTTCTGGATCTGCTAAAGGCTACATCCAAATATTCCACTTCCATTGCATGACAGGCTGCTGGTGTGGAGGTCCAAACTTATGTCTTTGTAGGTTAGGTAACAACCCAGCTTGCACTGGGAAATCAGATTGCGGGGGAATGGGGTGTCCTGTGGTCGGCTGCTGAGTCCCAGTCAGAGTCCAGTATTATGCCAGGAGCTGCTTTTCAAACAGTATGGATCTCTACCATAGTGCATGGCCTTGTTCTAGAATCTGCCGGCTCTGTGCTGTGACCTTTCTATTGAGGACTGCACATTCTTATCCAGCGCAGATATACCTAAAGAACCTTTTGATCTGTTGGTCACATGGCCCAAGAAACAGGTACTTGGAACCATGAGTTGGACTTGTTGCCTATTCAAAATTGGTGGTTTTCTGAGTCATCAGAGAAATGGGACTATGTTGCCTTCAAAACCCAAAGAAACTCCAGGCATTATGCCTCTATCCTAGTGATGTAAGGTGCAAGGTGCAGCAATTTGTTCTTTGCCTTCGGGGGGATGTCCCCACATATCCCAGACAAGTGGAACTCTATAAAACTCACCAATCTGCTGTGCTTCTGCGTCTTTGTGGAGCCCACCTCCCACTTTCTCCCATGTATGCGTCTCAGGGCACTTGGGATAGTTATCAGTTCCTGTTCAGTTCCAAACAGCATGATGTCACCAATACAGTGGATCAGTGTGATGTTCTGCTATGTCATGACAGAGAGCAAGAGAGTTAACATAGCCCCGAGGCAAGAGTGTGAGTGTGTACTGCTGTCCTTTTTAATTAGGATAAACTTCCTCTGACTCCTGCAGCTGATAGGTTGGCAGGCACTGTGTTGATCTGCCCCAATAAAGATCCGTATTCAGACCAGCAACTAAAAATGGAGTTAATCTTAGTAGCTCACTGTTGTGGGTGAATTGGATGAGAATACAATACACTGTTCTCATCTTTCAAATCTTTGCTGGTGGTGCTGATCCATGAAATTCTTCCAGAAGTGTCATATTGCTTCTGATTCATCTTGAGGGCTGCTGTGGGAGATAGGGACATTTCAGGGCTTCCACTTGGCTCTTCCTACCATAGTGACCCTTACTCCACAAATCAGACCAATACTGTGAGGGGTCTCCCGGTGCTAACCACATGCTAAGTGTATCTGTCCTAACTATATACTTGGGAACTGGACAGATAACCACAGAGTGGATTTGCAGATGCACTAGGCCCTCTATGAGGCTAACTTTGGTCATTGATCAGGACTCAGGGTCCTGGGATTCCCTTCCCAATGTGGTCTGTGTCTGTGAATTGGCCAAGAGGTGAGGGCCATCATTTTTCTTTCGGTGGTTAATGTCCTTCTATTTGTCGAATCTAGGTATTTTTCTTCGTGTATAAATACAACATTCTAATGGCTGTCCACCTATCTTGTCCCTAGGAGAGATCCCTACGGACCAAGAAACCCTGACTGCCACTCCAACGTGCTGCCTATTAAGTAATTATGTTCACTGTGCCTCTGAAAGCCACTAACGAACTTCTCCAAGATGCTCATATCTTCCTCAGTAATATGATTTTTACTGCCGTAGTAAAGACTGTGTCCTCTGAGTGGTAGGTTCTGGGACCATACATGATAGATCGATGTTTAATGTTCCCACTTTCCTAAGTCTTCCGATCTCTTCTTTAACATGATGCCAAGGTAATTCTGGCAACTCCTTTTGTTCACTGTATCACCTTATGGAATCTAGGCTTCAAGTAGCCACCCCAGCAAGCTATGCAGGTGTTCTTGACACAAAGGAAAGTGTGAATCCTAAATGGGTTATTCCCTGTCAGTCATTTCCCCTCTATCCAGCTCTATATGCTGCCAACCCTGGGCTGGCATCCTTGATGCTCACTTCCATTTATGTTCTCAAGTTCTCACTAGCTTTGTGATTTCTTACCTATCTAGACAATTTCTCCCTGAAACAGGGATTTTGCTCCTCCGTCTACTCTTGCTGAGACCCGACTTGGGCTGTTAGTCTGGAGACAATGAAGGTTGTGGGATGTTAGCTTGTCTTCAGGAGGATAAGCATCATCTTGTGAGGAAACTGCTTTAGGTGAAAGCACTGCATATCCTCCAGGCAAGGAGAGGCTAGTCTTCTCTGGTGAAGGTGAAGGTGCTGCCTCTTTGGGAAGGACAGCAGAAGGGGATTCGGAGTTTTGAGGTGCTCAGGCTCCTGCACCTAAATGTCTCCATCCCAGTACTCAGAGTCCTACACTTTCCCTATCAGGGCTCTGACTTGACATAGAATATTTGCTGAGGCTCTGCTTTTCATCTTCATGGCAGCTCTGGATGCCCAGAATCTAGAATCTAGGATCTAGAATCAGATCCTTGCCCTGATTTTCAGCACAGTCTTTCCTGAGGCTCCCCGAAATAAAGATTTCCTTTAATACTGCCTTAGAGGGCATCTGGATGTTAGATCATGCCTTACATTGGCTTCCCTGAGCTGTTATTTATTTAAATATCTTTCATGCTGTAATAAGTATCTATCCTAACCCACAGTCCACATAATTAGCATTGTTTCTATGTTGATTGAATGCCATGACCCCTTGTGCTCCCAGGGCCTTGACCTCCCTCCATCTGCACTCTATCCCTATTAACTACAATGAAAGTTGAAGAAATCATGAGTCTACCAAATGCCAAGGGGTTATTACTATTCCGTGTACCTCTAGCAGGGGAGTACCTATGACTTTCAGACGGGCGGCCCATTCACCTCCCTAATTCCATCTTGAAGATTGTTTTCTAGAACCACTCTTGGACAGGTGTTTTAACTGTGTCTTCTAAAGATTTTATTTATTTATTTAATTGACAGAGAGAGAGAGAGAGAGAGCGAGAGAGGGAACACAAGCAGAGAAGTGTGAGAGGAAGAAGCAGGCTCCCCGCCGAGCAGAGAGCCCGATGCGGGGCTCGATCCCAGGACCCTGGGATCACGACCTGAGCTGAAGGCAGACGCTTAACCGACTGAGCCACCCAGGAGCCTCTTAACTGTGTCTTCTAGAAAGCAGAGCTTTAGCCGAGGATTCAAGTGCCGATGTGATATTTGCAAATTGCAAGACCTTTGAGATGAGGGTGAAGAAGAATGGAAAGTGAGTCAAAGGAACACATGAAGCTACGCAGCACGTTACTGGGCTGGCCATTGCTCCGCAACAAGCCCCAAAAAGCCACGCAACTCAATTGGTGGGCGTGCTCATGCTGCACATTGGATTTTCTCTGAAAGAATTTCATGGAGAAACGAGTCCTCAGAGTAGTCCACAGAAGGGGGAAATGAGGAGAAATTTGTCATGCGGCTCCCTGTCACCTTCCATTTCCTAGCAGATGCTCAGCCCCCTGTGTCACCTGATCTGCCTCCACGGCAGTGGCTCAGAGGGCCAGATGCCATGCTCTGACCGTGGCGTGTTATCCAAGTCTAGACCTCAGTATGGTACACAGTACCAGCTGGCCACGTGGCCTGGGGAGTAGCCGGGGTTCCTGCCCCCTTGGGGAGGTTGTTAAAAGCAGTGGCAGGATCATGGTTCAGGAGACAAGCAGAACCTTGGGCAGGAAGCCAGAAAGGCAATCCAGAGAGGCACCAGGTCAGGGTCAGCTACACTGTGTTTCAGGAAAAGGGGGACAAATCAGGTGCACGTCACTCAAGAATTCTTACCTTGGAGATAATTTCATCAGATACAGTTTTGTTACTTTCAAGGGCTCTACACATTATAAAGGAAAGCTTAAGTGTGTGAACGTCGTCCATGAAAGCATCCAGGTGTGCCGAGTTTCATGCCATAGCCCTGCTCCTGACAGAAAGGAAGAACTCCGTGTTTCAGGAGCCTGGTGGGTAACTCTTTTGTAAGGCGTGAATTCCTTTGTGGACGTGAACGATCATGTTCTAATTAGCAGTGGGAAGAGTTCAGTTTCAGCAAAAGAGGTTTTCGTAAAGGTTCACATTGTCCAGTATTGTATCTTGAACTAAAAAACCTAATTTATTATTTACTCAGGCCAGATGGACTTTTTACTCACTGAAGATAAAGCCAGTGGCTTCCAGATATTGTATGTTCTCAAATGAAGTTGAAGGGCTTGCGTTTTTCTCATGAGATGGCTTCCGGCTGGCAGCTGTGGGCTGGGCTTTAGGGAGCCAGGACAGGGAAGGAAAACCAGACTGAAGCTGTCACCGATTTCTGATGACCTCAGGACATGCCAATGACAAAATGCTGATGAATTAAGCTGATTTTGCTCAACAGTGCCAAACTTTTAGGGTTAATGGGGTAAGATAATCATTGTAGTGACAGGTTTATATTTCCGCAGTAGAAAAATAATACTTTTCAATGTGCAAATATTGAGGTGCTTTCTCTCCCTTCCTTAGATTCATTTCTTCACAGAGGGAGTCACACCTTGAGATTTGATTGACAACCACCGGTGAACAGTGTGATGTTAACCTGAAATACTCTCAGAGCCGTGCTACTTTAATAAGGGTCACGTATCGCTCTCTGAGTACCTGCTAGCACACTGAGGTCTATTTCAGACTTGAAGCCCAATTCTACCTATAACTGAAGGTATGCAAGGAGCCCTATTTTCTGCCCTGGCTGTGCCTTATCAATGAGGCTTCTGTCTTCCCTGTGTTGACTCTTTGCCTGGATTTATGGCTTCTTGACTCTCACCTGCTAGATCTGGGAATCTGTCTCAATGGCTCTCAAACTCAACTGTGAATCAAAACAATCCCAGGAGGTTTAAAAAAATATAGGTACCTAGGATTATATCCTCACTGGTTCAGAATCTCTGGGGATGGAGCCTGTGGATCATCTGTAATTTTGAGAACTCCTTATGTAATTCTAATGCTGCAGTGCCATCATTAGGCTATGGTTAGGAATGGCCTATTTTTACCTGGGCTGATCCTTTTCAGTTACTTTCTGGATTCAGTGTTTGAGGCCACTTCTGGATCCCTCCTTGGTAAATGTGGAATCCTCATGGGTTTAATAGAGAAAGGAACATTTATCCATACATTCAGCTATGTATGTATGTATGTATTTATGTATCTATCCATCCTTCCATCTACTGAAATAATATTTGTTTATTTTTGGTGCCTGCTACAGGGATCACTGTTAGTAGAAACCCAGAGGGCTACTTGAGCCTTAACTTGTGGGATGCTGTATCAGTTACTGAGTCTCTGTTAGTCTGTGATTTCCTTGGAGGTAGGGACCACATCTCTCCACATGGTTATGTCTTAACTAACTATTTAGTGCCAGAATTGTGGAAAGTGCTTGACATTTTTTGTTATTGAAATGGAATGAAAATAGAGTTACAAACTCATGGTCTCTATCTGTTCCAGCATACAAACAACACAGAAGTACTGGACGTCTTCCAAAGGCCCATTTCTTATAGGCAGGCCTTCAATAAGCTTTAATCTGCTGATGTGAAGTCGGAAAGTCAGGGTAAGTCACAGTGGATTCTTGGGAGATACTAGAATGGTAGATGTTAATGGGAGGAACAGTTGGGAGTGGAAACTTTAATTGAGGTAGACTGGAATATATTTTAACCTAGAAGGACAGCCTTTCCTCTCTTATAGCAGTTATGCTCTGCCTTAATGCTGCAGAATTTTGGAATGATAAACACCTGAGCAGCCCTTCTGTGCTGCATGGGCTTGGTCTGGCTTTCTGATTGAGGATGGAGGGTAGAGGACAGGGTGCAGTCTGATTTGGAGGGTGTGGAAGAGGGCTCTACAGAAATGCAAGATGCTCTACATCTGTGTACTTTATCTGTTAGAGCTCTTAGCATATTAATCAGAGTTATTTTAAATTACTGGTTTGATAATTCCAACATCCCTGCCATATCTGAGTCTGGTCAGTGTAAGCAGAAAGATGGAAATTCTAAGAAAGAATAAAAAATAAATGCTAGAGATCAAAACTACTGTAACAGAAATGAAAAAGGCCTTTGATGGCATCATTAGTAGGCTGGACATGGCCAAGGAAAGAATCTATGAGCTTGAGGAAATGTCAATAGCAACTTCCAAAACAGAAAAACAAGCAGAAAAAAGACTGAAAAAAAGGGGGCACCTGGGTGACACAGTAGGTTAAGCATCTGACTTTTGGTTTTGGCTCAGGTTGTGATCTCAGGGTCATGAGTAATGCTTCATGCTCAGCATGGAGTCTGCCCCTCCCCCCTCTCTAAAATAAATAAAAATAAATCTAAAAAAAAAAAGGCTGAAAAAAAAAAAAAAAAAAAAAAAAAAAAAAAAAAAAAAAAAAAAAAAAAAAAGAATATCCCAGAACTGTGGGACAACTATAAAAGGTATAACATACCTGTAATAGGATTACCAGAAGGAGAAGAATGAGAGAAAGGGACAGAAGCAATATTTGAAGCAATAATGAGCAAGAATTTCCCCCAAAGCAGTGTTGGACACCAAATCACACGTCCAGGAAGCTTAGAGAACACCATCAGTATAAATGCCAAAAGCAAAACAAAACAAACTACACCTATACCTAGGCATATAATATTCAGACTGTTGAAAATCAAAGAGAAAGAAAGAAATCCTGAAAGAAAGAAGCCAAGGGGGACGGGGAATACCCTACCTATCAAGGAGCAAAGATAAAAATTAATTAAACTTCTCAGAGACCATGCAAGCAAGAAGAGAGTGGAATGGCATATTTAATGTATTGAGAGGAAAAAAGCTACCTATTTAGAATTCTGTACCCTGCAAAATTAGCTTTCAAAAGTGAAGAAGAAATAAAGACTTTGGACAAAAAAAAATATGAGGGAATTTGTTGCTAGTAGACCTGCCTTGCAAGAAATGTTAAAAGAAGTTCCGCAGAAAGAAGGAAAATTATAGGTCAGAAACTCAGATGTACATTAAGAAAGGAAAATCATCAGAAAAGGTATAAATGAACATAAACATTTTAATTTTTCCTATTCTTTTTTTTTTTAAGATTTTATTTATTTATTTGACAGAGAGAGACACAGCGAGAGAGGGAACACAAGCAGGGGGAGTGGGAGAGGGAGAAGCAG